ATTTTCTAAGGTGGGTCGAACCGACCGTCCGATCTGGCACCTGCAGACGCAGAACCGTGGGATCTACCACTCGCTTTTCCGTGTGAAGTGTACAAGTACTCTCCAACAAACCAAGCCACGCCAAAAGAGGCAACAGGAGCTAGTCATCACCAAGACAAAAGTAACTGAAGAGGGAGAGCACCAAGCGAACCAGCACTTGCGGCGGCGGCGAGATGGCCTCGGGCAATCGCGCAATCCCGATCGAGAACGGCGAGGTCCTCCCTGCCGCCGGAGGCAATGGCGTGGGAACGGCGGCAGCGGCGACGGATTCAACCGCAACCGCTCCTCCGTGGACCAGGTTCGCGTGCGTGCGTGCGTGCGTGTGTTACAGCTTGCAGCGTAGCCTCTTTGCCTCGCGTTTCGAGGGTTTGAGCGCCTGCGGTGTTTGTGGCGTCGGGTGCTAACGAGGATAGGGTATGGTGTGGTGATGTGCAGCAGATTGATGACATGCGGAGGAGGCTGCGGGAGTTGGAGGAGACCGAGCGCGAGATGCTAGCCGTCGCCGCCGCCGCCGCGTCGCATGGTAATCTGTCCTAGTCGCCACCACCCTCTCCGTTTCTGCTCGTGTAATTAGCGCTTTGTTTCGTCTTTGGTGGTTGCCCGGATTGAAATTGGTTGGATGCACGTGAGATCCCGAGCGCCTTGTTACTTGGGCGTCATTCATGTGATTAGATTTGTGCCACTCTCGATGTGGAATCGCTGACACTACGTGATCGGTTTGATCTTCACTTTCCAGTCAACAGGCTCCTAGTTTCTTCGTTTCTGACGACTTCTGTGTGGTTGGTTGTCGGAATAGTTGCTGCCTTTGAGTACTTGTAGGTGCTGGGTGAGTGCATCTTTTGAGCATTGTGTGTTTGTTCATTTCATTGCCCTGTTGATTTGTGTTGTACCAGTAATATGCATTTGAACAGCTTTGGTAAGGATTGTTACAGTGTTTAAGGTGATAGGCAGGCAGCGGGGGTGATGTCGGCGCCTAATCATGGGCTAGGCAGCCCCCTAGACGCGTAAAGCAGGACCGTAGCGCCTCGTGGGCGGGCTACGTACATGGCTGTCTTTTGGAGTAGGGGTATAATGATGGTGCATTACTTAGACTCACCTGGTTACGTGGTGGATTAGTGTTGCTAAGCATTATTTACTACAATTGCTGTAAAGTGTAAACCATCTTCCTTCTCGCAACTCGTCACATTTACTATCCGGAGACGGTTAGAATGTTATTTTCGAGCGTCAACAATTGCACTTTTGTAGAGCATCATCAAGTCATTGAGCTCATCCTGCATTCCACATTTCCCGAAATGTTACCGATGTGTCCAGATGGAATTCAGTTATGAACGGAGTATTTTTTTAGACAAATGGCACTAAATAGTGCCCCAAATCAATCATGAACGATGTAAATTAGGAAAGGGGTCTGCTTACGTACCTGATTCGAGATAATAATGCACACATATGGTGCATTTGAAAATGTCATAACCAAAGCTGTAAGAATAGATTACCATGATGATGGTTTGAAGTTGATGAAAATGTTCTATGGAAAGCATGGTTTATATACACCGATAATGCCACTAAAGTTTATGGTTGTAACCTTTTTTTCTTCTTCTACTGGTACATGCTTACTGCTGCTTCTGATATTTTTCTGACAGCAAAGAGAAATGTGAGATGACCTGGTTTAAAATGCACACATATGGTGCATTTAAAGATGATATTGTGTACACGATTAAGTGTTTGCTTCAAGCCTCACCCTTTACATACTTACTTAATAAGTATGGTTATAAATAGAAACATAGATGCTGATTAAAGATCCTAATCGACGGCGTCTTCTTTCTTTTGCGTTTGATTCTTTCTGATCATGAGTGCCGTGCCATGCCATGCCGTTGTTTCATTATTTTTAATGAACTCTCTGCCTTCAGTTAGCCATTAAACTCTACAATCTGTTTACACTTTTTTCCTCCTTCGGTCTATTTTTTCAGATGATCCAGCTGCAGCGGCAACCGCACTCGAAAAGGCAGAGGTGGATGCTCGCTCCATCTATGTTGGAAATGTGAGGTTTTCTTCTTGTTTTGTTTCTTATCCTAAAGTGTACTTCTAGCATGTCCATGAAGAACTTTCCAATATGCAGTAGCACACAGAGCCAGAAAGTTTTGCATTGCTATTTGTTACGCCAAGAATCTGGATTACGGGGAGCACTTTTAATAAATTATGACTGCTACTGAGATGATACTTTCTTTCTTGATTTTACCATCCCATTTCTTCCTGAGGTTTATGGCATCCTCATCTGCTGTTTTAGTACTCCCTCCGTTCACAAATATAAGATGTTCTAACTTCTTTCTGAATTGGATATATATAGACATGTTTTAGCGTGTTTGTTCACTCATTTCAGTCCGTATGTAGTCCATATTGAAATATCCAAAACGGCTTATATTTGTGAACGGACGGAGTACTTCTCTTGAAAAAATAAATTAAAAATAGCATTGAATAGTTCTTAGCTACTCCAGTGCAGCTGTTTTAAGTATTCTATTACCACCTTGCCTCAGGTTGACTATGGGTGTTTGCCAGAGGAAGTTCAGGAGCATTTTCAGGATTGTGGAACTGTCAACAGGGTTACAATTCTGACAGACTTTTATGGCAACCCTAAAGGATATGCTTACGTGGAGTTTCAGGAAGCTCAGTCAGTCCAAAATGCTCTCCGGCTGAATGATACAGAACTGCATGGCCGTCCTTTGAAGGTTCAAAACGAACCTTTTTACAATTTGCACTCACTGTTGTTTTGAACTTTCTAACATTTACTTGCGTGCTCTTTTTTTATAGGTGTGTCCAAAAAGAACTAATGTTCCAGGAATGAGCCACCATAGGGGAAGGCGCCCGTTTCAACCTTACTATCCCCCCTGTCCAGCATTTGGGTAAGGTGTCTCTTCATGAAGATGTATTGCACTTAGATGTGGAAAGATTAAGTCAGCATGTTTCCAATTGTGGCTTAGGTAGGACTAATGGAATTTTTCTAGGTGAATCATTTTTTAGCGACTGTTTCTAGATATTGATCTTTTCAGCTAAATTTTGGGTTATCCTGATTTCATTGGATTTTTTTTGCATAAGCCTAATCAAGACCAACCCAGTACTTCTGTTTGAATAGAGCAGAATTTCAATCGTAAACTGTATATAATATAAAGTAAATGAAAGGATTCGAAGAATATGGCATGCGGAGGCCATTCTTGTAATGCATCCGACTAGTTGTGCACCAAACATTCAGGCGAACTTTTATTCCCTGGGATCTCCTCTTTTCCTGAGGTTACCAAAAATCCAAAATGGAGCCCAAGATGAGAGTAATTCAAACAGAATTCCCAGGATGACCTTTCTGATGTTCTGTTTTTCTCTGCAGGAGGTCACCCAGGTTCAGGAGGTCACCCAGGTTCTGTCCCTATTCCTGATTCTGCTGGGTTGCTATGACTTCAGGTTTTTGCTAGCGAATTTCCATGATACATACAGAAGATACATGCAAAGACCCTGAAAGGCTGCGACTTCTGAAAGTTACATAGTCTCCTTGTTGTCATACCTCCCATCAGACCATGATGACATCCCTTTTACCTTAGGAATGAACCTATGTTCCGAATTATCCCGTGATCAGTCGGCCTGGTGGGTTTTATACCGTTGACTTTAGCTTTGAAGTTTTATCGAATTTTGAGTCAGAATTGTTGGCAAAGTTGTGTACTCTGCTTGCTCTGATGAGTTCTAAGCAGTTGGACCTGAATTATCTGCAACCATTGGCGATATACATTATGCCTGTTAGTTCATGTTTGGTTGTCTTGTTAGCTGGTGATGTTCCATTCCGATGGACTGATGGCTGCCTCTGCTTGGTTTTCCGCTTTTGTCATGCGAGAAAACATGGCACCTGTCCAGAGATTTCATATTTGATCTGTCGAGTCCTTATAGCTGCTGCTGCTGTAGGGTGTGTGTAGTTGCAGGTTTACAGGCAGCGGAAGGGTTCGCCTCTTCCATGAGGCTGATCTTCTGGCTATGGTGCTTTTGTTTGTTCTGAACCCTCCTGAATTCACACCCTCCTCAAGTCCAGTACATAGGACGGTCGTTGATTTGACTAATCAAATTGTATGTCATGAAAAGCATATCATTAGAATCATACACAAGATGAAGCTTCTAAGCATATGTTTTTCATCTCAAACATATATATCTGGTTAGTCAATCAAATTACCGACCTATGAAGCACCCGCACCCCGCCGGAGGGAATGGAGAAGGTCAAGGTTGAGAAGAACAAATATTGTATCCAGTGACATTAGTTACAGCCGCAGCTTGCAACTTTCATGCCCTCATTGATGTTCAGCCGTCCCTCGTCTTCAGTAGTGTAATGGCAGTGTTCTGTGGCGCCTTTTGATTCGCAGGAATTCATACTACAAACAGTTCAATTCCTGCAGGAACTGTGAAACTCACGGTGCCCGGTTGATAGTTCAATTGGTGCAGCAACTGTAAAACTCACAGTACCAGTTGATAGTTCAATTCCTGCAGCAACTGTGAAATTCACAATACCCAGTTGATAGTTGAGCAAGGGCCATCCATAACAAATTATCCATGAGTGAGAGACTGTTGATTACAACTATCATAACAATCACACCTTGGCTCACTGTGAGACAATCTTAACAATAGCAAAGCAGCAGAAGCAAGCAGTGACCAGATGATGATATTCCCAGCGAAGCTACTCTTTTCTTTTCCCCACCATAAACAGCAACTCAAAAGACAACACACTGATTACAAATGAACACTTTCTAAATCCTCCCACAGCCATATCCTACACCTACATTCTTTGCCCTTCACTTCTTAAATCAACCATCCAAACAAAAGAAGAGTAGAAACATCACAAGTCATCAGCTGACTGACAGGAGCAGCAGCAGTTAACTAACAAAGCCAGCAAGCATCCATCAACACGGAGTTGAGCTGAGGCTGCACCGGAGCTCTAGTTCTCAATCCTCCTCCATAGCAGCGGCGGAGGAGACCAGCTTGGCCTTCTTGTGGTGCGGCTGCTGCTTGCCGAGGAACGCCTCGACGAAGAGCTGCTGCGCGTCGAGCAGCGCCTGGGTGCGCTTCATCTCTGACTCCATCCGCTCCTTCTCCATCTGGAGCGACAGCTCCAGCCTGCGCTCCTCCATCCTCAGGAACCCCTCGCCGACGGCCCTCAGTGCCGAGGCCACCTCCGCCATGGCCTCCGCCTCCGGGTCGTCATCGCCCCTGTCCCGGTCCGGCCTCGCCTCCCGCGGGACCCCCGGCTTGGTGCGCGAAGCCTTGGGGATGGTGAAGCGCAGCCCGCTGCCGCCCCCGCCGTTGGAGATGAGGCCGTGGAGGCTCCTGCTCCGCCCGGCGTCCTCGGACGAGGGGGACGACACGGGGGAAGGGGACGCCGGGGTGGCGTTCCCCCTGGGCTTGATCTTGATTATGGGGTTGGGGCTGGCGTCGGGCACCCCGCCGCCGGCGAGGTCGTGGAGGAGCGGGAAGAAGGGCCACTTGGGGCCCTTGGAGCGCCCCATGGAGCGCGTGCGCTCGGCGCGGTACCGCTTCCGGAGCTTCTCGATCTTGTGGCGGCACTGGACGCCGGATTTGTAGGTGGCGGTGGGGAACCTCCCGCAGCGGGCGGTGACGGCGCCGGCGACCTCGTCCCAGTCCGCCGCCCGCAGGTTGCCCTTCTTGAGCGCCTCCCACTTGTCGCGGTACGCCTCGATGAGCGCGAGGGTCTCCTCGTGCGTCCAGCACGGCGGGGGCAGCCTCCTCCCGGAGCCGCCGCCCGCCCCCACCCCGCCCCCTCCGCCCCCGGACGAGGCCGCGGCCGCGGCCGCGGCGGCCGCCGCCGCGATGCCGGGCGCGGCCAGCGGGGGGAGCTCCGGGGAGGAAGGGACGTCGTCCTGCTTGAGAGACGAGGAGGAGGACATGGTCGCAGCACGGCGGCTAGGGTTTGGTGGTGGAGATGGGGAACGGAGGAGGAGGAGGTGGGGAACCGGTCATATAAGGAGGCGCGGTGCGGTGGAGGTGGGCCGCGGGCGCCCGCCCGCTGGC